AAATCGCCTTTTAGAAATGTATGTTCTACTGTAATGAGATTAGGAGTGCAGTTTCATTCATTCAATAAATAGTACCAGTGCTGCCCTAATGGCAGCAGAGAGCCCAGAGATGTGTAGGACATGGTTTCTGCCCTCAAGGGATTAGGATAAGTGCCCAGGTCACTAATGTAAAGGGAAAAAGTGATGACTGCTGGAGGGGAGGCATTAGCCAGATGCCCAAATGAAGCAGGCGACAGGACAGTGATGCTCCCTGCTGGAGAACGTTACAGATCCATGAAGGATGGACGGGGTTTCCAGGAGGGAGTAGGAGAGAGGTAGTGCTGGGTTGTATGTGTATGGTGGCATCCACACCTTGACAGGGATGTTGGAGTGTGGCGAGCACAAGGTCAGGCAGTAGGAGAGGACCTGCAGGAGAAAGTTGATTAGGAGGAGGTACTTAAAGGTGCTACCAAAGTTATCCTACGATGGAATTTGGTAAGGATGATTGAAGATTTCTGAGCTGGGAAGCAATAGAGTCAGAACTCTTTAACAGGACATTCATTTGTCAACCACTATAGAATGGAGTGAGGAGAGGCTGGGGTTAGGGAAGAGCCCTTTGGAAGTGATGAGCCTGAAGCAATGGTACCACCTGTGTGGTGAAAGCGATGCAAGGGTGTGCAAGGCTGAAGCGCTCAGGACTTGGTGACTGATTAGATGTGATAGTTAAGGAGGGGTCTAAGGCTTGAACCTGGTGACTAGCAGATGGCAGTAACCTTCCAGAAGTTGATAACACGTAGATCAGAGAGGTAATGTAAAGGTAATGAAAACATGACATTGGAACATGAGGGAGAGGCCAGAGCTGGGTGTGAAGATTTGGAAAATCAGTCACCAAGAGAGCTGTTTGAGCTGGGTGGTGAACGAGGTCATTAGAGAGTGTAGAAACAAGAAGAAAGACAGCCAAAGGTAGAACTCCTAAGAAAATCCATATTGGTGATCAAGAAAATAAGAGACTATAAAGTAAAGGAGGCATTAGGAGAATGTTCCAGAAATTGAAGAAGGAGGCACTGCTGAAAGGCAGTTAGAAGCAAATTTGCCCTTTTGTCATTGAAAGATGTTGGTGAACAAGAAGGAAAAATAATTCATGTTTTTTTAAATTTTATAATTAAACAAATGTATTGCTTTCATTTGGATTTCTCACCCTTTTTATACTTAGACTTTCTCTTAAATTGCTCTTAATTTGTTTCTGCTACATACTTTTCATACTCCGGACAGTTAAAAACAAGGCACATTTCTTTATGAAAGGAATGCAGTGCGCCTTCAGAATTGATCACGTGGTGGGTTTTATGGTGATTGCTGTGAAAATGCCACTTAGTGGAAATCACCCATTTAGTCAAGTGTCGATTAAGTGCCTGTTGGGTACCAGGTACAGTTCCATGCACAGCGGTGAGTAACACCAAAGAAAACCCTGGCTCCTGTTGAGTTTCCTTTCTTGTGTGATGACGTTAACAATAAAAAACCCGAAGAAGTAAAATATGCCACATGTGAGATGGAGATATGCACCAGGAAGGAAACTAAAGCAGAAAGTGGGAGAGGAAGAGCTGAGGAAGGGGTCTGTCAGTAGAGTGGTCAGTGAAGAAGGCCTGATGGAGAAAGTGGTGTTTGATGAAGCCCAGAAGGAGATGATAGAGGGGGTTGTGTGG